GTCGTTCTGAGAATATTCCACGACCCCCCCTTTGCGTTGGTGAAATAGGTCGTTCTGGGAATATTTCAGGACTCCGTCTTTGTGATGTTGAAATAGGTCGTTCCAACAATATTTCACGACCCCGTCTTTGTGATTTTTGAAATAGGTCGTTCTGAGAATATTTCACAACCCCGTCTTCGTGATTTTTGAAATAGGTCGTTCTGAGAATATTTCGACCCCGCTTTGCGTTGGTGAAATAGGTCGTTCTGGGAATATTTCAGGACTCCGTCTTTGTGATGTTGAAATAGGTCGTTCCAACAATATTTCACGACCCCGTCTTTGTGATTTTGAAATAGGTCGTTCTGAGAATATTTCACGACCCCCGCTTTGCGTTGGTGAAATAGAAATAGGTTGTTCTGGGAATATTTCACGACCCCCGCTGCGTTGTTGAAATAGGTCGTTCTGAGGATATTTCAGGACTCCCTCTTTGTGATGTTGAAATAGGTCGTTCCAACAATATTTCACGACCCCGTCTTTGTTTTTTTTGAAATAGGTGGTTCTGAGAATATTTCTGGGACCCCCCCCGCTTTGCGTTGTTGAAATAGGTCGTTCTGGGAATATTTCACGACCCCGCTTTGCGTTGGTGAAATAGGTCGTTCTGGGAATATTTCAGGACTCCGTCTTTGTGATGTTGAAATAGGTCGTTCCAACAATATTTCACGACCCCGTCTTTGTGATTTTGAAATAGGTGGTTCTGAGAATATTTCACGACCCCGTCTTCGTGATTTTTTGAAATAGGTGGTTCTGAGAATATTTCACGACCCCGCTTTGCGTTGGTGAAATAGGTCGTTCTGGGAATATTTCAGGACTCCGTCTTTGTGATGTTGAAATAGGTCGTTCCAACAATATTTCACGACCCCCTCTTTGTGATTTTGAAATAGGTGGTTCTGAGAATATTTCACGACCCCGTCTTCGTGATTTTGAAATAGGTCGTTCTGAGAATATTTCGACCCCCGCTTTGCGTTGGTGAAATAGGTCGTTCTGGGAATATTTCAGGATTCCGTCTTTTTGATGATGTTGAAATAGGTCGTTCCAACAATATTTCACGACCCCGTCTTTGTGATTTTGAAATAGGTGGTTCTGAGAATATTTCACGACTCCGTCTTCGTGATTTTGAAATAGGGTCGTTCTGAGAATATTTCGACCCCCGCTTTGCGTTGGTGAAATAGGTCGTTCTGGGAATATTTCAGGACTCCGTCTTTGTGATGTTGGAAATCGGTCGTTCAACAATATTTCACGACCCGTCTTTGTGATTTTGAAATAGGTGGTTCTGAGAATATTTCACAACCCCGTCTTCGTGATTTTGAAATAGGTCGTTCTGAGAATATTTCACGACCCCCGCTTTGCGTTGGTGAAATAGGTCGTTCTGGGAATATTTCAGGACTCCGTCTTCGTGATTTTGAAATAGGTCGTTCTGAGAATATTTCACGACTCCGTCTTTGTGATGTTGAAATAGGTCGTTCTGAGATTATTTCACGACCGCCTCTTTGTGATTTTGAAATACGTCGTTCTGAGAATATTTCACGACCCCGTCTTTGCGATGTTGAATTAGGTCGTTCTGAGAATATTTCACGATTCCTTCTTTGTGTTGTTGAAATAGGTCATTCTGAGAATATTTCACGACAGCATCTTTGTGATTTTGAAATAGGTCATTCTGAGAATATTTCACGATTCCGTCTTTGTGATGTTGAAATAGGTCGTTCCAACAATATTTCACGACCCCGTCTTTGTGATTTTGAAATAGGTGGTTCTGAGAATATTTCACGACCCCGTCTTCGTGATTTTGAAATAGGTGGTTCTGAGAATATTTCACGACCCCCGCTTTGCGTTGGTGAAATAGGTCGTTCTGGGAATATTTCAGGACTCCGTCTTTGTGATGTTGAAATAGGTCGTTCCAACAATATTTCACGACCCCGTCTTCGTGATTTTGAAATAGGTCGTTCTGAGAATATTTCACGACCCCCGCTTTGCGTTGGTGAAATAGGTCGTTCTGGGAATATTTCAGGACACCATCTTTGTGATGTTGAAATAGGTCGTTCCAACAATATTTCACGACCCCGTCTTTGTGATTTTGAAATAGGTGGTTCTGAGAATATTTCACGACCCCGTCTTCGTGATTTAGAAATAGGTCGTTCTGAGAATATTTCACGACCCCCACTTTGCGTTGGTGAAATAGGTCGTTCTGGGAATATTTCAGGACTCCGTCTTTGTGATGTTGAAATAGGTCGTTCCAACAATATTTCACGACCCCGTCTTTGTGATTTTGAAATAGGTCGTTCTGAGAATATGTCACGACCCCGTCTTCGTGATTTTGAAATAGGTCGTTCTGAGAATATTTCACGACCCCCACTTTGCGTTGGTGAAATAGGTCGTTCTGGGAATATTTCAGGACTCCGTCTTTGTGATGTTGAAATAGGTCGTTCCAACAATATTTCACGACCCCGTCTTCGTGATTTTGAAATAGGTCGTTCTGAGAATATTTCACGACTCCGTCTTTGTGATGTTGAAATAGGTCGTTCTAAGAATATTTCAGGACTCCGTCTTTGTGATGTTGAAATATGTCGTTCCAACAATATTTCACGACCCCGTCTTTGCGATGTTGAATTAGGTCGTTCTGAGAATATTTCACGATTCCGTCTTTGTGATGTTGAATTGGGTCGTTCTGAGAATATTTCACGACCCCTTCTTTGTGATGTTGAAATAGGTCGTTCTGAGAATATTTCACGACAGCATCTTTTTGATTTTGAAATAGGTCATTCTGAGAATATTTCACGATTCCGTCTTTTTTGTGATGTTGAATTGGGTTTGAGATTATTTCACAACCACTTCTTTGCGATGTTGAAATAGGTCGTTCTGAGAATATTTCACGACCCCGTCTTTTAATGATGTTGATATAGGTCGTTCTGAGAATATTTCACGACAGCATCTTTTGTGATTTTGAAATAGGTCATTCTGAGAATATTTCACGATTCCGTCTTTGATGTTGAATTGGGTTGAGATTATTTCACAACCAATGTCTTTGCGATGTTGAAATAGGTCGTTCTGAGAATATTTCACGACCCCGTCTTTGTGATGTTGATATAGGTCGTTCTGAGAATATTTCACGACAGCATCTTTGTGATTTTGAAATAGGTCATTCTGAGAATATTTCACGATTCCTTCTCTGTGATGTTGAATTGGGTTGAGATTATTTCACAACCACGTCTTTGCGATGTTGAAATAGGTCGTTCTGAGAATATTTCACGACCCCGTCTTTGTGATGTTGATATAGGTCTTTCTGAGAATATTTCACGACAGCATCTTTGTGATTTTGAAATAGGTCATTCTGAGAATATTTCACGATTCCGTCTTTGTGATGTTGAATTGGGTTGAGATTATTTCACAACCATGTCTTTGAGATGTTGAAATAGGTCGTTCTGAGAATATTTCACGACTCCGTCTTTGTGATGTTGATATAGGTCGTTCTGAGAATATTTCACGACAGCATCTTTGTGATTTTGAAATAGGTCATTCTGAGAATATTTCACGATTCCGTCTTTGTGATGTTGAATTGGGTTGAGATTATTTCACAACCACGTCTTTGCGATGTTGAAATAGGTCGTTCTGAGAATATTTCACGACCCCGTCTTTGTGATGTTGATATAGGTCGTTCTGAGAATATTTCACGACAGCATCTTAGTGATTTTGAAATAGGTCATTCTGAGAATATTTCACGATTCCATCTTTGTGATGTTGAATTGGGTTGAGATTATTTCACAACCACGTCTTTGCGATGTTGAAATAGGTCGTTCTGAGAATATTTCACGACCCCGTCTTTGTGATGTTGAAATAGGTCGTTCTGAGAATATTTCACGACCCCGTCTTTGCGATGTTGAAATACGTCATTCTGAGAATATTTCACGATTCCGTCTTTGTGATGTTGAATTGGGTTGAGATTATTTCACGACCCCGTCTTTGCGATGTTGAAATAGGTCGTTCTGAGAATATTTCATGACCTCTTCTTGGTGGTGCAGAGAATACTTCAAGATCCCTTTCTTTCAAGTTTCTCTGACATTACTATAAGATACTTTCTAGATTGTTTTTTATAATATTCCATGATCTACATCCTATTATTATTATTGATATTTTTAGTTCTATTTTTTCTCGATCGTATTTTGGCAAATTTCTCATTTATAATTTTACGACGACTACAGAGACAAACACACCTCAGCTGCCATTTCGATCATTGTCGTCATTACCATTACTACTACTGCTTAAAAAAAAAAAAAAACTTACCTCGACAACAAAACTGTCACAGAAAATAATAGGAAAAAAAGCGTTACAAATTGAATGACGACTGTAAAAAAAATCAATTAGATAACCTATTTCCGTCCAAATTAAACAGAAATAATTTAAAAGATCTGATTAGCGAATTGTTAATTGTTCCGATCGCCTATCGCTACGAGCAGACCACAAAATGAAGCTTGAAGATGAAGAAGAAGGAGGAGCAATGAGGAGGAGGAGGATGAGAAGAAGAAGGAGGTGGATAAGAAGAAGAAGAAAAAGGAGAAGAAGAAGGAAGAGGGGAAGGTTAAGGAGGATGAGAAGTAGTAGTAGAAGGAGGAGGAGGATGAAGAGGGCGAGGAAAGAAGAAGAAGAAGAAGCAGAAGGAGGAGGAAGAGAAGAAGAAGAAGGAAAAGGGGATGGTTAAGGAGGATGAGAAGAAGTAGGAGGAGGAGGAAAAGAAGAAGATGAATAAGTGAAGAAGAAGAAGAAGGTGGAGAAGGAGAAGGAGAAGAAGAAGTAGAAGAAGGGGAGGAGGAGGAGGAGACGAAGAAAAAGGGGGAGGAGGAGGATTAGTTGAAGAAGAAGAGGAGGAGGAGGAGAAGATAAGAAGAAGAAGAAGGAGGAGCAGAAGGAGGAGGATGAGAAGAAGAAGAAGAAGAAAGAGGAAGAGAAGAAGAAGAAGGAAAAGGGGGTGGTTAAGGAGGATGAGAAGAAGTAGGAGGAGGAGGAAAAGAAGACGATGAATAAGAAGACGAAGGCGGAGAAGGAGAATGAGGAGAAGTAGAAGAAGGGGGAGGAGAAGGAGGATGGGAAGAAGAAGTAGTAGAAGGGGAGAAGAAGGATGAGACGAAGAAAAGAAGAAAAAGGGGGAGGAGGATTAGATGAAGAAGAAGGGGGAGGAGGAGGAGGATTAGATGAAGAAGAATGGGGAGGATGAGGAGGAGGATGATGAAGAAGACGAGGAAAGAAGCAGAAGAAGAAGAAGAAGAAGGGGCAGAAGGAGGAGGATGAGAAGAAGAAGGAAAAGGGGGGCGTAAGGAGGATGAGAAGAAGTAGGAGGAGGAGGAAAAGAAGAAGAATAAGAGGAAGAAGAAGAAGAAGACGGGGGAGAAGGAGAATGAGAAGTAGAAGAAGAAGGGGGAGGAGAAGGAGGATGGGAAGAAGGAGTAGCAGAAGAAAGAGGAAGAGAAGAAGAAGGAAAAGGGTGAGGTGAATGAGGAGGAGGAGGAGGATGATGATGAAGAGGACGAGGAAAGAAGCAGAAGAAGAAGAAGAAGAAGGGGCAGAAGGAGGAGGATGAGAAGAAGAAGGAAAAGGGGGGCGTAAGGAGGATGAGAAGAAGTAGGAGGAGGAGGAAAAGAAGAAGAATAAGAGGAAGAAGGAGGAGGATGAGAAGAAGAAAAAGTAGAAAAAGGGGGAGGAGAAGGAGGATTAGATGAAGAAGAAGATGAAGAAGAAGGAGGAGGAGGAGGATGAAGAGGACGAGGAAAGAAGAAGAAGAAGAAGAAGAAGACGACGAAGAAGGAGCAGGAGGAGGAGGATGAGAAGAAGAAGAAGAAGAAGAAAGAGGAAGAGAAGAAGAAGGAAAAGGGTGAGGTGAAGGAGGAGGAGGAGGAAAAGAAGAAGATGAATAAGAGGAAGAAGAAGAAGGTAGAGAAGGAAAATGAGAAGAAGAAGTAGAAGAAGGGGGAAGAGAAAGAGGATGGGAAGAAGAAAAAGAAGAAAAAGGGGGAGGAGAAGGAGGATGAGAAGAAGTAGGAGGATGAGGATGAGGATGAGGATGAAGAGGACGAGGAAATAAGAAGAAGAAGAAGAAAAAGAAGAAGAAAAAGAAGGAAAAGAAGAAGAAATTCCTTTTCTTTCACAGTAACTCTCTGCAAGTGTAGCTTGCTACTTAGACACGAATCCACAAATGTTTAGTACTCGGTGCATATCAGCATCACTCCCGCCGAGATTAACGAATGTCTAACTCTTAATGATAAGAAAGCAGAAATTCATGCTCGCTAGCAAAAAAAAAGGTTGGGGGGGGGGGGGTCAGCCCGAGATACGAGCAACGGAATCAAGCAATTACAGAAATTTAATTGTCTGGAAAGCCGAAAACGGATTGAAATAGCGAAAGATGCTTTTCAAAAGCTAAGCAAAGTAGTCAGAAAGAGGAAAAAATTCGTTAGAAACAAGGAGATGGGCGCTAGACCGTTAGGCCATATCAGTATTAGGAAATAATGTCCAAATAATATACTCGAAGCCATTACTATACAAGTGAACCAGTGCATAATAAAATAAAAGATATTTTCATCAGGAGGTGGGGGGGGGGTCTGTATTTTGATGATTGTATAAAATATTTAATATACATTCAACATAATAATTCCAAAGAAGAATTATTATTTTTGATGTATTCATTGGATTTTATAAGAATATTAAGTTAAAACGCTGGAAATTGTATATGGATATTTCGGGAATTTCAAATGTCCAAAATTTGATTAATGCCAGAGGCGAATCCTTCGGAATCTAAAGGAAAAAGCAAAGACTTGGGGGAAAAAATCATTAAAAAAAAATACTGACCGCGTGTGTCTGCTTCCATATATGGACTTTTGAGAGAGAGAGAGAGAGAGGGGGAGAGGGGAGGGAGATAGAGGAGGGAGAGGGAGAAATAGAGGGAGGGAGAGAGGGAGGGAGGAAGGAGAGAGGAGGGAGAGGGAGAGATAGAGGGAGGGAGAGAGGAGGAGGGAAGGAGAGAGATTTAAGATTGATAGAATGAGATTGAGATTGGGATGAAGATTGAGAGAGAATGAGATTGAAAGATAAATTGAGATTGAGAGAGAGAGAGAGAGAGGAGAGAGAGGGAGGGAAAGATGAAGGAAGGGAGAGAAAGATTTGAAATTGATAGAATGAGATTGAGATTGACATTGGGATGAAGATTGAGAGAGAGAGAGAGAGAGAGAGAATGAGATTGAGAGAGAGAGTGAGAGAAATTGAGATTGAGAGATTGGGATTGAGAGATATTGAGAGACATAAATTGAGACTGAGAGAGAGGGAGATAGAAGGGGGGCGATTGCGAGAGAAACTGAGAGTGCGAGAGACTGAAATTGAGAGAGGGGGATTGAGATTGTGAGAGAAACCGACATTGAGAGAATGAGAATGGAGAGAGACTGAAAGAAAAAAATTAAAATTGGGAGAGAGAAATTGAGATTTGAGAGAGGGAAGGAGAGAGAGGGAGAGATTGCGAGAGAAATTACAAGTGAGAATAGATGGAGATGGAGAGAGAGAGAGAGATTGATATTGAGAGAGAAACTGACATTGAGAGAATGGGACTGAGAGAGATTGAGAAAGAGAGAGAGAGAGAGAGATTAATATTGAGAGAGAAACTGACATTGAGAGAATGGGACTGAGAGAGATTGAGAAATAGAGAGAGAGAGAGAGAGAGGGAGAGAGATAAATTGAAATTGTGCGTTTGTGTGAGAGAGAGAGAGAGGGGTACCTTTCGAGATAAATTGACAGTGAGAGAGACTGAGGTTCAGAGAGGGATTCAGATTGAAAGAGAGATTTAGTGAGATATATATATATATATATATATATATATATATATAGAGAGAGAGAGAGAGAGAGAGATTGAGAGATGTATTAAAATTGTGATTGAGTGGAATGGCAAAAAAAGGTAATGGTAAAAGGAAAGAAGAAATAACTCATGTCCAGGTATATAGCAATCGTTTCATAAGTTAGAATCGAAAATTATCAGATAAGTGAGCATCTTATGCCCACCATGAACATGATTGGATAAAATTAATTTCTTTGTTGTTAACGTTGTTAACTCATTTGCAGATTACTATATATTCTTAGAATGTAAGATTTTAATTTGAGATAATAATTTATTTACTGATACAATTCCTACTAATTAACCCATAGCTGGGAGGAGAAGAGGTGGATTCATATCATTCACATGGGTTTGAAAATTCGCGCCATGTTCTTAAATAGCCTCGTCAGATCGAAACTTTCATGAGGGTGTCTTACATGGCGCCAAACGCCAAATGCATAAACTCAGCTGTGTAGAAACGCTTTTTTAAGAAAGAAAGAAAGAAAGAAAGAAAGAAAGAAAGAACATGATTACAAAGAAAGAAAGAAAGAAAGAAAGAAAGAAAGAAAGAATGAAAGAAAGAACGTGATTAGAAAGAAAAAAAGAAAGAAAGAAAGAACGTGATTAGAAGGAAAGAAAGAAAGAAAAAAGAAAAGAAAGAACGTGATTAGAAGGAAAGAAAAAAGAAAGAACGTGATTAGAAAGAAAGAAAGAAAGAAAGAACGTGATTAGAAAGAAAGAAAGAAAAAAAGAAAGAACGTGATTAGAAAGAAAGAAAGTAAGAACGTGATTAGAAAGAAAGAACGTGATTAGAAAGAAAGAAAGAAAGAAAGAACGTGATTAGAAAGAAAGAAAGAAAGAACGTGATTAGAAGGAAAGAAAAAAAGAAAGAAAGAAAGAACGTGATTAGAAAGAAAGAAAAAAAGAAAGAACGTGATTAGAAAAGAAAGAAAGAAAGAAAGAACGTGATTAGAAAGAAAAAAGAAAGAAAGAAAGGAAGAACGTGATTAGAAAAAAGAAAAGAAAGAAAAGAAAAGAAAGAACGGATTAGAAAGAAAAGAAAGAAAGAAAGAACGTGATTAGAAAGAAAGAAAGAAAAAAAGAAAGAACGTGATTAGAAAGAAAGAAAGAAAGAAAGAAAGAAAGAACGTGATTAGAAGGAAAGAAAAAAAGAAAGAACGTGATTAGAAAGAAAGAAAGAAAGAAAGAAAGAACGTGATTAGAAGGGAAGAAAGAAAGATAGAAAGAAAGAAAGAACGTGATTAGAAAGAAAGAACGTGATTAGAAAGAAAGAAAGACAGAAAGAAAGAACGTGATTAGAAAGAAAGAAAGAAAGAAAGAAAGGAAGAACGTGATTAGAAGGAAAGAAAAAAAGAAAGAAAGGAAGAACGTGATTAGAAGGAAAGAAAAAAAAAGAAAAAAAGAACGTGATTAGAAAAGAAAAGAAAAGAAAGAAAGAAAACGAACGTGATTAGAAGGGAAGAAAGAAAGATAGAAAGAAAGAAAGAACGTGATTAGAAAGAAAGAACGTGATTAGAAAGAAAGAAAGAACGTGATTAGAAAGAAAGAAAAAAAAGAAAGAACGTGATTAGAAAGAAAGAAAGAAAGAACGTGATTAGAAAGAAAAAAAAAGAAAAAGAACGTGATTAGAAAGAAAGAAAGAAAAGAAAGAAAGAACGTGATTAGAAAGAGAAAAAAAGAACGTGATTAGAAAGAAAGAAAGAAGAAAGAAAGGAAGAACGTGATTAGAAGGAAAAGAAAAAAAAAAGAACGTGATTAGAAAGAAAGAAAAAAGAAAGAAAGAACGTGATTAGAAAGAAAGAAAAAAAAAGAAAGAACGTGATTAGAAAGAAAGAAAGAAAGAACGTGATTAGAAAGAAAGAAAAAAAGAAAGAACGTGATTAGAAAGAAAGAAAGAAAGAAAGAACGTGATTAGAAAGAGAGAAAGAAAGAACGTGATTAGAAAGAAAGAAAGAAAGAAAGAAAGAAAGAAAGAAAGAAAGAAAGAAAGGAAGAACGTGATTAGAAGGAAAGAAAAAAAGAAAGAACGTGATTAGAAAGAAAGAAAGAAAGAAAGAACGTGATTAGAAGGAAAGAAAAAAAGAAAGAACGTGATTAGAAAGAAAGAAAGAAAGAAAGAAAGAACGTGATTAGAAGGAAAGAAAAAAAGAACGTGATTAGAAAGAAAGAAAGAAAGAAAGAACGTGATTAGAAGGGAAGAAAGAAAGAAAGAAAGAAAGAAAGAAAGAACGTGATTAGAAAGAAAGAACGTGATTAGAAAGAAAGAAAGAAAGAACGTGATTAGAAAGAAAGAACGTGATTAGAAAGAAAGAAAGAAAAACGTAATTAGAAAGAAAGAAAGATTAAAGAAAGAAATAAAGAAAGAAAGAGAAAGAAGGATTAGAAAGAAAGAAAGAAAGAAGGAAGGAAAGAAAAGAAAATAATTAGAATGAAAGTAATTACAAAGAAATAAAGAAATAAAGAAAGAATGTGGTTAGAAATAAAGAAGGAAGGAAATAAAGAGAAAGAAAGAAAGAAAGAAACAAAGAAAGAAAGAAAGAAAGAAATAAGGAAAGAAAAAATATTACAAAAAACTTTCATAAGTCTTACATGGCACCAAACGCTAAATGCATAAACTCAGGTTAGAAAGCTTTAGAGCTAGTGACGCCTGGGCGGTCATTGCAAAGACGATCCCTGTTTGAATATTGTGGACTGGCGCTACAGGCTCACGAACAAAGAACTTGAGGACTACCAACAGCAGCAACAACTCAAATGGATAGCACATACAACCCGAAGAAATAATAAAGACATAATAAAGATGTCGGCATTCCACACTACTTAAAAAAAAGTTAGGAAGGAAACCGCTATCAATACTGGAAAGAGAGATAACAGATACTGGCCTTGAGAAAGATATTTTTCTGAGAAATTGTTTTAAGGGAAAATCTTTATAAACGTTAAGCGAAAGCAGTCTTGGCTACTCGGCCGAATGTTTCCTTATAAAGAAACGGCTAAAATTACAATCATCGTAAGTGAATATAAAATACCCGACTAGAATTTGAACGCAGCTCTCCGATTATCAATTCCGAGTCGGTTTTCCATTACGTCGCCCGCACATCCAGGCTTAGAGTTCCCAAGCGGTCATGCATCTCGGGTCGATGTTGCTCAACTTCGGTGATCATGCAAGAACAACGTGATATGGCTATAAGACAAGGTAAAGAGAGGTAGAGATAGAAAAAAAAGAAGAAGTGGGAGATAGAGAGGGATGGGTGTGGGGAAAAGACGAGGGTGAATGAAAGGAAGGAAGGAAGGGAGGGAGGAAAGGAAGGAAGGAAATAAGGAAGGAAGGTAAGTGTTTGGAAAGACAGGAAGAAAAAGAAAGAAAAGAAAATTATAGTTTGTCTATATTTCTGAGATGAGGTATTATGTACAGTATTTACATTAGTCGGACTATTGTCCTCATCTTTGTCGCCATATTTAAACACAACGTTTCGGCCGTTGTACGCTCCGGCCTTCTTCAGGTGGTTGGAATTTCGAACTGAACCCTTTATTTCGATCGCTGGGGTAGACTGTTCTAATTCCACGTGCCATGTTTGATGGATGTCAGTTATCAGTTATCTCCTGCTAATTTTCCCTCTGAAAAGTTCTCCACTGCCTTAACCAGGAATTGAACTCACCTTCTTTGGGTCTGTCACTGGATCTAACCAACGCCTTTATCCACTGTGCCATGTGTCCTTGAGGACACATGGCACAGAAAATTATAGGAAAGAAATTGATTTGAAAAAAGAAATAAAGAAAGAACGTGATTAGAAAGAAAGAAAGAAAGAAAGAAAGAACGTGATTAGAAAGAAAGAAGGAAAGAAAGAAAGAAAGAACGTTATTAGAAAGAAAGAAAGAAAAAAGAAAGAGCGTGATTAGAAAGAAAGAAAGAAAGAAAGAAAGAAAGAAAGAACGTGATTAGAAAGAAAGAAAGAAAGAACGTGATTAGAAAGAAAGAAAGAAAGAAAGAACGTGATTAGAAGGAAAGAAAGAAAGAAAGAACGTGATTAGAAAGAAAGAAAAAAAGAAAGAACGTGATTAGAAAGAAAGAAAGAAAAAAGAAAGAACGTGATTAGAAAGAAAGAAAGAAAGAACGTGATTAGAAAGAAAGAAAGAAAAAAAGAAAGAACGTGATTAGAAAGAAAGAAAGAAAAAAAGAAAGAACGTGATTAGAAAGAAAGAAAGAAAGAAAGAAAGAACGTGATTAGAAAGAAAGAAAGAAAAAAAGAAAGAACGTGATTAGAAAGAAAGAAAGTAAGAACGTGATTAGAAAGAAAGAAAGAGAAAGAAGGATTAGAAAGAAAGAAAGAAAGAAAGAGAAAGGAAGAAAGAAAGAAGGAAAGAAAATAAAATAATTAGAATGAAAGTAATTACAAAGAAAGAAAGAAATAAAGAAAGAAAGAACGTGATTAGAAATAAAGAAAGAAGGAAAGAAAGAGAAAGAAAGAAAGAGAAAGAAAGAAAGAAAGAAAGAAAGATAGATAGATAGATAGAAAGAAAGAAAGAAGGAAAGAAAAAAATATTACAAAGAAAGTGATTACAAAGAAAGAAAGAAGTAAAGACGGCATATCCAGGTAGGATCGAATCTTCGGAGGCTTTCTCTTGGGAATCGAAAAGAGGGAATGATAATTCAATCTGGTATGACACGATTAGATAAGAAATTGGGAATATATATATATATATATATATATATATATATATATATATATATATATATATATATATATATATTGATGTGCACGAAAGTAATCAACTCCTATATTGTTTTCTTTTTTTTTTACGATTAATCATCCCGAATTTGATTTAATAAGATTTATCAACTTAATTAACGTTAGCGGAAAAATGCACAGACTGAGCTGGAAATAAATAAAGAAAAAAAAATTAATATTCCTATTTGCTCGACTTCAGTAATTACCAGTACATTATTATAAAGCCTTTTGCATAAACGTTACTCAATCACCTCGCCATTTCAACAAAATCGTAATTTAGGTTCATTGAGACAGATATCTAACCCTGTTAGCAGTTTTCTATCGCCTTTAATAAGGCTGCTGCATCTTTTGACTGGTACTTTCGGATATTCTTCTATACAGAATTGTTCCTTTTTCTTCAGATTCCTTTTATGAACAGCAATTTCCATTTGGCTGTCAGAATATCAGGCGATTGAGCAAGCTATTTTCTTAACTTCAGTCAGTTATAAGCCATGCATGATACACGCTTAGGCGATCATGTATCTTTCGATACATGACTGACGGGGCAGATTTCTTTTTTCTCGCAGTAGGTTGCCATTTCTTTCTACGGTAGACCAGTTGCCATCCAAGGCTATAGAACACTGTCTGTCTTGATGTTTACCCATAGCTGGGTGAAGAGGACAAGAAGAGGATTCATACCTTTCCCAAGGGTATTAGCACTTAAGTTAAATTCTGTAAGTTATGTGCCATGCGTGATACACGCTTACGCAATCATGTATCATGTATCACACACACACACACACACACACACACACACACACACACACACACACACACACACACACACACACACACACAGAGCTGATATGATGTTTGCTTGATAACCTGTCAGGGTTTCAATTCTCGGTAGTGGATGCGCACTGCTGATGAGTCCCAAATATAGGACGAAACGGTTAAAATATCCATTAAAATGACGTGATAAAATATGGCGGTTAAAATAAGTGATTAAATATTTCGGATCAATAAATAAAGAAAATATTTTATTAGAATTTGCTTTGTTTACATTAAGGATTCGAAACTGCGCCTATGTAAATGTTTTTCAGAAAGATTTGCATTTATAAAGCACTATGCAAATTTGCTTGAACGTCGACCCACACCATTTAACGATGGTTTCTCTACCTAAGGCTTTCTTAAGTCTATAGATATTAAGCACTGTTGATTTTTGTAAAGGTAAATCTATCTATCTATCTATCTATCTATCTATCTATCTATATCAGTTTGTTCATATCTATCTATTTCAGCCTGTTCATTTGAATATATCTATTGATCTATATCACTGCCTATTCATTTCTATCTCTCACTGTCTATTCATATCTATCTATCTATCTATCTATCTATCTATCTATCTATCTATCTATCTATCTATCTATCTCTGTCTGTTCGTATCTATCTATCTATCTATCTATCTATCTCATCGTTTTCATATCTATCTATCTATCTATCTCATCTTGTTCTTATCTATTTATCTATCTTAGTATTTTCATTATCATATGTTAAATATCTATCACTACATTTTCATGATCTATCGATATCAGTACTTGTGTTCAATATCTATCTCAATCCGTTCATTATCTATCTATCTATCTATCTATCTATCTATCTATCTATCTATCTATCTATCTAATCACCCTACCAAACCAACACAAATTACTAAATAAACGATCAGAACACATCTCTAAATGAAGACTCAAAAAACATATTTTACTATGTTACTTAAAAATCGAGAACTAAAATCGAATACCCTGTAGTATAGCCACCATGCAAATATATACACTATATACAACATGCTAACATATATAATATAACACACTTTACACAATGTCGATACTTTCATCTATACTAATAATATAGCCCAAACCAAAAAAAAACAAAAAAAAAAAACGATTAATTTAAATATACAAAAGAAATTAAGTAAATAATAAACACATTAACAAACTAGAAATTCACACATTAAAACAAGTAAAGGTAATAATAATAATAATAATAATAGTAATAATGAGCAACAAATGATATAACCAATAATAAATAATGCGTAAAAAAAATTAACGAACAACACTGTTACGACAAACATTGTATGGAAGTTGTTAGATGCCTGAGAAAAGTTTTAATTATTGCAACTGATCAAAGTATGCATTTCTCCAGAATTATATAATAAAACAGTGTGCTAAACTGTATAAAAGCGGAGACAAATTCATATTTTATGTTATTTTGAAATTTTTTGCTTGCCATATATATATATATATATATATATATATATATATATATATATATATAAAGTGAACATAAGTCAACACTTAGAGGCGACAGTCTGTTTCATACTATATGCAAATCGTCAGGCCATATACTGTTATTTTTCTCGGCTATTTATATATATGCGGGTTAGTGGTGCATTGTGGGTATTCTATTATGGCGGTTATTTTACCGCATATGTGGCCTGACGATTGCATCTAGCATGAAACAGCCTGTCGCCTCTAAGTGTTGACTTCTATGTTCACTTTTATATTTACACACGCTCTATCTCTGATATTGAGCACTTTTATTCCATAAATATAGCACACCTTAAGACTATATTTCTTCATATATATATATATATATATATATATATATATATATATATATATATATATATATATATATATATATATATATATATATATATATATTTATATATTTTTCCTATACATTTAAATGTCAATTTAGAATCAAAATAAATATTTTTACTTCACGTCTACAGCTGTCATTTTTAATACGATCCATAGTCTAGACTTCATCTAAACATGTTACGACAAACACAGCATGGAAGTTGTTAAATGCCTGAGAACAGTTTTACTTATGGCAACTGATTAAAGTATGTATTTCTTCTGAATTATTATATAAAATTACAATAAAACAGAGTGCTGAACTGCATAAAAACCAAGACAAATTCATATTCTATGTTTCCAATTTTTTGTTTTTCAATACATATATATATATATATATATATATATATATGTGTGTGTGTGTGTGTGTGTTGTGTGTGTGTGTGTGTTGTTTGTGCATATATATATATATATATATATATATATATATATATATATATATATATATAGAGAGAGAGAGAGGGAGAAAGAGAGAGAGAGAAAATTTCTTTTATTTCCGATATATAAAGGATGACAATTGTGGTATGAATGATATCACCTGAAATGAGAAACAGGATATTGGACTGTTATTGAGTGATGAAAAGACAAATCGGGAAATTGCGAATATATAAGTCCGCCTCCCGTGACACCATTGCTTTTCATTGTATGGCCCAGAGTCTTTATCTGCAAGAAAGTATTGTCCTTACATAGGACGACTTTATGAGATAATTACATGGAATAATTGATAAAAAAAAAACTGTTATCTATTCATTGCTTTGAAAACAACAGAGATGAACACAGTAAGATAGATAGATAGATAGATAGATAGATAGATAGATAGATAGATAGATATGAACACAGTGAGATGCATAGATAGATAGATCGATAGATAGATAGATAGATAGATAGATATGAACACAGTGAGATGCATAGATAGATAGATAGATAGATAGATAGATAGATAGATAGATATGAACACAGTGAGATGCATAGATAGATAGATCGATAGATAGATGATAGAATGATGAACACAGTGAGATGCATAGATAGATAGATCGATAGATAGATAGATAGATAGATATGAACACAGTGAGATGCATAGATAGATAGATCGATAGATAGATAGATAGATATGAACACAGTGAGATGCATAGATAGATAGATCGATAGATAGATAGATAGATAGATATGAACACAGTGAGATGCATAGATAGATAGATCGATAGATAGATAGATAGATATGAACACAGTGAGATGCATAGATAGATAGATCGATAGATAGATAGATAGATATGAACACAGTGAGATGCATAGATAGATAGATCGATAGATAGATAGATATGAACACAGTGAGATAGATAGATAGATAGATAGATATGAACATAGATAGATAGATAGATAGATAGATAGATAGATATGAACACAGTGAGATAGATAGATAGATAGATAGATAGATATGAACACAGTGAGATGCATAGATATATAGATCGATAGATAGATAGATAGATAGATATGAACACAGTGAGATAGATAGATAGATTTGAACACAGTAAGATAGATAGATAGATAGATAGATAGATAGATATGAACATAGATAGATAGATAGATAGATAGATAGATAGATAGATAGATAGATATGAACACTGAGATAGATAGATAGATAGATAGATAGATAGATAGATAGGATCACAGTGAGATAGATAGATGATAGATAGATTTAAACACAGTGAGATAGATATATAGATAGATAGATAGATAGATAGATAGATAGACAGATAGATAGGAACACAGTGAGATAGATAGATAGATAGATAGATAGATAGATAGATAGGTAGATAGATAGATAGATAGATAATGTGCAAACTGAGACAGAGAGATGAGAACAGGCGCAAATAGATAGATATGAATGATTGCCAAAGAGAGAATTTTAAATTCCCAACCACTCTTTTTTCATGTGTATTTTACTCTAAAATACGTAGAATTAATGTCTACGGCTCGTGATAAAAAAAAACCCAAAGCCAAAAAAAAAAACAAACAAAAAAACAGCAACCTCTCAATTTGAATTGATTTACTTCCGTACCGTTTCCTTCTTTTATTTCAACCAATCTTCTGTAGAGGCTCCCAGACTAAACCGATAATATCACGCTCGTTTGAAATTATATTTATCTGCAATCTTTCGCTTCCTCTGACAATCATTTTCAGTCTTCACCCGCAGATTCGTCACATCTAGGCATATAATCACGAGAGCATAAACAAATAAATAGCATTTTTAAAATACAGACCTGGAAGCCAAAACAGCAAAGGAAAATGTCGGTTCATTCGAACGACGTATGATCCGGCTTTGACATCACTTCCGTTCCGCCATTTTGTTTGCTCGCTGCTACCGTTTATAGAGATATTGTCTTTTATACACCCTTGCTTCCTTTTCAATGCTTCCCTCTCTCTAAACTTTTTTTTTCTCGTTATTTCTTTATTTTGTCAGTATCTTTGGTTAAATATATTTCTTTTTACGTTATTTTCCTTTCCTTGTTACGTAGAAAGAGTTGACACCCTTGAGCTACGCCTTGGTCTTAAGGGTGAGCTTTTAAAGCCAATCGCTTTCTATAAAAGAGAAGAGAATCAGCAAGCGACATTAAATTGAATGGAAATCAAGAGAATATAAGAAAATATGCGCACAATGTAATTAGATTAGTAACGCTATTTAAAACCGAGCATTCGCAATATTTACGTCATTTGCCTATGCCTTTCATATATATATATATATATATATATATATATATATATATATATATAATTGAGTTTTGGGGCAATAATCCCTCTTTTGTACAAGTTTCATTAAAAACGACTGACAAGGCACTGTGTTTAAGTGAAGAAAAAGCCAACAAATCAATAACATCGACTATGAACACAACCACAATGTGTTGACCGCGTTTGTAAAATAAAACATTCCTATAACACTTACATACATACATGCATAAAACAATTCATACATTTACTTAAAAGTAAAAAGTACATCATCCTTGATAATGGCTAAAAGTATAGCCGAAGGACTCGTACATACAGAACATTCGAAGACTTTCTACATAATTTATGGCCGGAAAAAGAAGAAACTTATAAGAACAAAAGAAAAATTCAATAAAAAACTTAACCGCAGTAACTCGTCATCCGTTTTTAATGAAACGTATATATATATATATATATATATATATATATATATATATATATATATATATATATAAAGGCTCAAACACTGATATTCCATTGTTATGATTTTTTGCATTTGGGTACTTCGGTCTGGTGTAATGGCTAGAACAATTACGACTGAGTAGTGAGTTCGATCCTTTCTAGGCGCCCCCTCCTTTCAGCCTTGTGCCACATCTAAGGTACGCTTAGAAAATCACTTGGGTACCTCGACGTGCTATCATGGTTAGAAAGCTTGTCTCGCTAGAACAATTACGACTGTGTAGTGAGTTCGATCCTCTCTGGGTTCCCCCTCCTTTCGGCCTTGTGCCACATCTACGGTACCCTTAGAAAGTCAATATAATTTATTACATTCGAATCGTAATTACGATCCAAATCATCAGGCCTACAATTTCAAAAAGAAATCGGAAAATATAACTCCAGGTATAAAAAACAAAATTTTAGTGAGAGTGTATGTGTGGGAGTGGGAAACAAGTGTGAGAGGGAAATGTATGAAAGCACTAGAGAGAGGGTGTAAGAGAAGAAAGAAGAACAGGAAGGCCTAAAGGTGAAGGTGGGGATTAAAATTTAACAGAGAGAAGTTTTAAAGAGAGGAGTTAAATAACAGTTTAAATGAGTGACATACAAATAAATAAGAATTATTTTCGGATGCATAAATCACTAACGATTTGCTGGCCTAAAATTAAAATAAAAAAAAACGGACACCGGAAACGTGTGGATACATTTGTGGTGACATTAGGCACAATAAAAAAACGATATGATGTAAACTTAAAATCCAGCCAATTCATACTGCCGATGCATATGTGAAAATTTACCGTCTGCTTTGCATTACTGTTATGGTCCGGTTCCTTGTACCACGGTGATAGTCCAAGGTAGAACCAATAAAGAAGAACTCCAACACAGGTATGGAATAACACAGATATATTACAAACAGGAATATATACAGAGAAGTAGAAAGTGTTAGTACGAACAATCAGGTTTAGTAGTAATTGTCTGAACGCGACTCTGTTTTGGACTGCCTCTGACTCGACTGACTGACTCGGTTGCTCTGACTGACTGACGGACTTCACTCCAGACTTCAGACTGAACTCCCTGCTTCCTCTTGAGGCGCAGTATTTATTACGTATGGAATAGTCCATTATGTTCTTATGGGTAAGGTTCCATAACAATTACTATACCTTATGTCTACAAGAAAAGAGAAGATGAGAGTGAGGGAATATATATATATATATATATATATATATATATATATATATATATATATATATATATATATATATAGAGAGAGAGAGATAGATAGATAGATAGATACAAGTATAGGATTGGTGTATACGGAATAAATTGCAATAAGAGTGCTCAATACAAAGTAGAGCAAATATAATTTATTCGAAAATTATAACATAAATATGTTATAAAATCACTACGAAAATAGCCATTTTGTTTCAACACTTCTGGTGTCTTATCGAGTGATGGTGTTGAATGTAGAATAAACAGTTTTAAAAAGTTTAAATTCGAGGGGTGTTTGGTTGATTTGAACCTTTTAACACTCTTTATTCTACATGGAACACTATCACTTGAGAATACACCAGAAGTTTGTAGTTTTTTTGTAACATGTTTATGTTATAATTTACGAATAAATTGTACGTACACACACACACACACACACAGACACACACACACACATATATATATATATTGTTTTGATCAACTATCGTCTTTTGTACTTCGACTTTATGCGCAGTGATAGATTATACTACATGGGCAGTTAGGTCTCGCCCTATTGATATTGAAATTGCTAGATGTAACCGTAACTTCTATGCTAACAGTTTCTTTTCTCGCACTTCTCACTTGTGGGACTCTCTTCCGGCTTCTTGATTCCCGGTCAATTTTGATCTTCATAAATTTAACTGTACTGTCAATCGTTGTCTCCTGTCTTCTTAATTCCGTTTCATTTATTGTTCTCTCTCCTTAATATTGTTTTTTTTTTATCTCATAATTGCTGGCACTGAATAAGCCATTTCGTCTTAGTGACTTTACTACCTTGCTTGAGGTGAAATTATTATCTATATCCATATCTATCTATCTATCTATCTATCTATGGAATCAATACATTTATTTTTTATTAGACATTTTGTATCGCTTCAAATGTTGTTATAGTAGGCACTTGCTATTTAAAGTAGACACCATATTTTTAGTTATTTGTTAAACATCCAAAATAAAGAAAATGTGGCCCCCAGCAAGAATCGAACCGGTGTCCTCCTTTGTAGGATAAGAACCTTGCTTGACGTTACATTATCTTTGCTTAGGTGCTTTTTTAATGTGCATGCCGATAAACGTATTAAACACTGTTTAATTAATAAATAAAAATGAGACATCGATTTCATATAAGACGTATCGACTATAGTAACATTTTAAGTAATATATATATATATATATATATATATATATATATATGTGTGTGTGTGTAGATAGATAGTTAGATAGATAGAGAATTCGCCATTAATTACATTAATATTACTAACTGATTCATTGTATGATTACCTCTTTATAATATAAAAATATGCTGCCCAAATATAATACGTTTACGAAAAACAATTGATATATATATATATATATATATATATATATATATATATATATATATATATATGCGTGCGTGTGAGTGTATTCTCTCGCACTTCTCGCTTGTGGAGCTCTCTTCCGTCTTCTTGCTTTCCGGTCAATTTTGATCTTCATAAATTTAACTGCAATGTCAATCGTTGTCTCCTGTCTTCTTAATTCTTTTTCATTCATTGTTCTCTCTCCTTAATATTGTTTTTTTTTTTCTCCTTTCCTCACATTCTTTTACGGTGAGTAACCCGTTGCGGCTTAGTGGCCTTATAACGTTGCTTGGGGTGAAATGATTATTTTTTTTTAAAAGTCCATTGAACTTGTCATACGGCACTATTGGCGCGAACTTGCGTGTTCCCTTGTCGACTTCGCATAACGATTTATTTCATTATTCTATGATATGTCCCGGGAAAGGGATATATTTGAACGAAGTAGTATAATCTATAACAATAATATTTTATATATAATACATTTTATGTATAATAATATATAATTATATATTATATAATATATAATTATATATGATATATAATTTATAATTATATATTATAATATAATATATAATTAATTATAATATAGTTTAGTATAATTTTTAATATTAATATTTTATATACAATATATTTTATATATAATAATATTTAATTTATATATTATAATTTTCAATTATCAACCGTGATTCATTTTTGACTAGGATTTCTTTCATCTTAATTTTAAATTGCCTTTTATTACCTTAGCAGTAATATTATCTTGAATTGTGTTATTTTTTTTAGATGAAGCACTGTCAATACTTGCTTAAAATTTCTTTCATCTTAATTTCACTTGCTTTTTATTACATTAATAGTATCAGTAATATTATGTTGAATATCATTATTCTATGATATGTCCCGGAAAGGGATATATTTGAACGAAGTAGCTAAGTGGTTTTGTCTACTATAACCAAGTAGAATACGGTAGCAGTAATCGGCTGGTACGCGTCGTAGTCGCAGGTAAGAAGTGTAGATCAATGGCGTAGTCCAATGGGCGTCGTTATAGACTTAGCTCTCAGACTAAGGCTCTTTCTGACTCTCGTACACGTCCGTCGGTATTTATGACGGACACCAGCCAATCATATTCCAGTGAGGGGAAACACAGGTGTAGGCATATTTCATTATATCATTTTAGGACTGTTTTAGATTATTTTGAGTAAAGAAAGAAACAAGAAAACTAATTTGTGATTTCTCCTTTAATACTGTTCTTTGACAACATCATCTATCGGTCACTAGCAGAGGTTCCCTGGCAGACAAGTGGGGGTTAAATGCTACACATTAAAATCCTACATTAGTTGCTTTATTCGGTAAACGTGGAGAGTCGTTTACTCAGTCCAGACCTATTCTGGCAGACGCTCAAGTAGGTAAGAGATGGATTCAGATAGTTTTCTGTCAGTTCTCCGAAATTAAAGTACCCCACCCCGGGGGGGGGCTCTTCCTTAAAATGCCGATTTTCAATGAAACCAAGAAACCAGCAAGTGGTATCTTTTCTTTCTATGTGCCATGTCCTTTCAGGACGTAGGTGATCATGGCTCTCCACGTCCTCCTATCCCTTGTAGCTCCCAACAAGTTCCTTACCTCTGCCACCTCCCCGACCAGACCACGTTCTGTCATCCACTTGCTTAAGCCCGCCAGGTATGTCACGTGTTGTTTTCCCTTGTCTCTCTCTTTCCCCTCTATTGGACCTGTGAGTATCAGATTCTCCAGGCCCTCCTTTCTCATTATGTGTCCCAGAAACTTCAGCTGCCTCTTCCTGATGTTAAGTATAAGCCTCCTCCTTGTTTTTAACCTCTCTAAGATCTCATCGTTGCTCACACAACGATATCCTCAGCATCCTGACGCTATAAAATCATATCCTTTTTCATTAAACCGTTTATATTGGCTTCGTAGCAACGCTTAGTAAATGTCAAGAATAAGGGCGAACGGGATTTTAGTTCATTTCGAATATTTTCACAGAATCATAAAAAGAAATGAGCGTAAAAAACAAACAAACAAGTTTTTGTTAGCCGAGAAGGGCCAAGGAAAGAATACAATTACAGATCACACAGAGTTTCCTTTGTTCATCTCCATCAAATCGATTATCAAGCAAGGTGACATTTACGCCGAACATGCGCCTATCTATCTATCTATCTATCTATCTCAGACTCTTCTGCATGCATCTATCTATCGAATTCAGACTCTTTTGCATGCATCTATCTATCTATCTATCTATCTCATTCTGTTCATTTCTTTCTTTCTTTCTTTCTTTCTATTTATCCCATTTAGTTAATATCTATCTATCTATCTATCTATCTATCTATCTATCTATCTATCTATCTAATTCAGTGTAGTATCTATCTATCCATCTATCTCTGTCTGATCATATCTAGATAGGGAGGTCGGTCGATAGATAGATAGATATATAGCAGTTAAAATTACATAGACTGATTTAAATAGATACATTGAATTACATAGATGGATATGAACAGACTAAATTAGATAGATAGATAGATAGATAGATAGATAGATAGATAGATAGATAGATAGATAGATACTCGACTGGATTAGATCGATAGATAAATAGATAGATATGAGCAGACTGCATAAGACAGATTGAATTAGATAGATAGATAGATAGATAGATAGATAGATTGGAGCAGACTGTATAAGATAGATAGATAGATACTAGACTGAATTAGATAGATAGATAGATAGATAGATAGATAGATACTAGACTGAATTAGATAGATAGATAGATACTAGACTGAATTAGATAGATAGATAGATAGATAGATAGATAGATAGATAGATAGATAGATTGGAGCAGACTGTATAAGATAGATAGATAGATACTAGACTGAATTAGATAGATAGATAGATAGATAGATAGATAGATAGATAGATAGATACTAGACTGAATTAGATAGATAGATAGATACTAGACTGAATTAGATAGCTGGCTAGATAGATAGATAGATAGATAGATAGTGATTCCTAAAAAAAAAGTATTTCATCTATAAGCAGCATCAAATCAACTTACTATAAATATTTAGCAATTCATTTCCCAACTGAATCCTTCTTGCGTTTTAAATGCGCCGATGAGGTTATTTCAAATATCTTGTTTACCTTTTCGTTCCTTCAGACCTTCACCGTTCACACGAGACAAATGCTGTTAAGTTAGCTGCACTCTTGTGGGTGGGTGGCTGGGTGGGGGAGTAGGGCCAGAGGATTAGTGCAAGTCCAAGACCATACAATACCCGTCCTTCGAACAGGAAAAAGCTCAGTCGCCCTAGCTGTTCGCTTGCCTTTCTAAAGTGTCTGTCTGACAACATTATCGACAAGACATCTCTTTCATAAAGTTGTTTGCGTCATTATGTTAAGTCCATTTTAATTTCCTACTATAGACATAGCTACGTCGAGCTGTCCATGAGAGGCACATTTAAAAAATAATAAAACACTCGAAACTACTGCCTGGCAAGTTGACAGCAAACACAATAGTAAGAGTACTATTATTATTATTATTATTATTATTATTATTATTATTAATAGTAGTAGTAGTAGTAATAATAATAATGTGTTGTAACTTAGGGAAGGTTACTGGACAGAATAAGCAAACAACGGTTGGTAATGAACGATAATACTTAGGACAAGAACAACACATATAAGATTCGCCAGCGGCGCGTAGAAGTAGTAGTCAACTGCTAGAAGTGAAACAAGTGAATTCCACAATGATTCCCCAACCGCAGGATATCTACCAACCGCCCCACGCCGTAAGATGTGGCACAAGGCCGAATTTAACGTGGGGCATCCGATCCCGTAGGCTTGGTTAAAAATTCCCCGTATACTCCGTATAAAACGGGGTCGGGTAGCTATTTCCCGAGACGAGACCCTACCCTTCGACATAGTCTCGTCTGGAGATCCTCTTTGCCAGTAGGCGGAGAGTTTGACCAGAACAGCTGGAGATGAATCTCCAGCCACAGGATATTTACCAACCGTCCCATGCGATCAGGTGTGACACATGTCCGAATTTAATGTGGGGTATCTGAGCCCGTAGGTTCGGCCAAATATTACCCGTAGACCCTGTATAAATCGGAGTCGGGTAGCTGTTTCCTGAGACTAGGCTCTGCCCTTCGACATAGCCTCATCTGGGGATCCTGTCTGCCCGGAGGCAGAGAGTTTGACCAGCACAGCTAGAGACAAATCTGCAACTGCAGACCAACATACAGTATTTACTACCCTATTATGGGAATGGGGACAAACTCGTTATCGTCCGGAGGTATGCTACAAGACAATCTTAATTCTTCAGTTAATGGCTGAATAAGCTCACGACGAGTTCTAAGACAATAAAATATCCGTCGAAATTCCCTTATCGCATCGTTAAATAGTTGAACTTAACAGTCAGTCAGTTATTTGCCATGCGTGATACACGCTTAGGCGATCATATATCTTTCGATACACGACTGGCGAGGCAGATTGTTTTCCCCGCAGTAGGTTGCCAATTCATTCTTTACTAGACCAGCTACCATCCAAGGCTGTCCTGCTATTTACCCATAGCTGGGGGAGAGAAGAAGAGGATTCATACCTTTCCCAAGGGTCAGTCAGTTATTTGCCATGCGTGATACACGCTTCGGCGATCATGTATTTTTCGATACATGACTGACGAAGCAGATTTTTTCCCAAAGTAGGTTGCCATTTCTTTCTGCAGTAGACCAGTTGCCATAAAATGCTATAGAACCCGGTCTGTCATGCTATTTATCCATAGCTGGGAGAAGAAGATGATTCATACCTTTCCCAAGGATATTAGCGCGTAAGTGAATTTCAGTGATACACGCGTAGGCGATCATGTATCTTTCGATACTTGACTGAAGAGGCAGATTTTTCCCCGCAGTAGGTTGTCATTTCTTTCTGCAGTGGACCAGTTGCCATCCAAGGCTATGGGACCGGGTCTGTCCTGCTATTTTATCCATAGCTGGGGGAGAAGAAGAGAAATCATACCTTTCCCAAGGGTATTATCACGTAAGTGAATGTAATGGATTCGACCGGAATTCGAACTCGGCTCTCCGATTCCTCAATCCGAGCCGCTATCCATTTGCCTCCCACCCCACCGTACCTTAACAGCTTTAGTAGCAAACATGAATATGAATGCCGGTCGTAATTTTAAAAAGGGGGACACAAATGAAAAGATTTGAAATTGATAATTTTTTCCATTTCACTGAAACAGACGTGAGACACTTTCATCTTTCTTTTTATTTCATTGAAACCAAATAGCGTCTCTGATATGTCTTTTCCGTCTTTCCACACAATCAAAACGGAACAGTCCATTATTTATGATTTAAGAGCAAGGCGTAACAGTCACGCAAACTAACAAAGGGAGGTACATCTACAAGCATTATACGATGATGATAATAATAATAATTACTATTATTTAATTAATTATTGTACGTCGTGAAGAGAAATATTTAAAAACAATTTCTCTCATTAAAATATGGATTGTTTTTTTTAAAAAAACAAAACCTCGCCAAATACCCGTTCTTGGAACAGAGAAAATCTGTCAAAGAAATTCTCTTATTGCTGTACATGTTATTGCGTGGATAAATTGTCGTCTAAATGGCGCTAAAATGAAAATAACGCTGACATCTAATTTTACTAGATATATTTACCAAAATTACACAAAAATATCTTGAAACTCTAAAGAGTAAGTTTGTTCAATAAAATCGCCATTGGCTTCAACCAATGCCTTCTGCCGACTTCGGAATCTCCTGCAGCTCTTCTGGACAGTCTCCTTGTTTAAGTTGTTAAATGCTGCCATAATCCTTGCCTTCAGTTTATCTTTGGTGTTACCTTGTTTGGTGCAATGTGATGGAGGAGGCGCTGCCCGCTGGATTAGAATCGTCGGGGCCAAGCAACGCTTATTAATTTATTTGGGCTCTGTTCGAAGACACAAGTTGAGAGATACGATGTTGCCTTTCTAGCCAAAAGGTTGGAATCATTTTTTTCTTGGATTTTCTCTGTTTTCGAAAATCTCAAAATTCGTATCTATCGTTTTCGTTCCTGGAAGATCCTGAAAACCTTTCCCCTTCAGCGCCACCCAAAGACATTTTGAAAAAAAAAACTTGACCGTGATTTCTACTATTAAAAAAAAAAAAACGAAAGAACGAAAACTGCATCTTACGATGTCTTATCCCAGGGTGCGATGGATAAATTGTTGTCCAAATGATGCAAATATGAAAATAACACTGACATCTCAATTTAACAGATATATTTACCAAAATTATACTCCCCCCACCCCTCAAAAATATCTTGAAATACTAAAGAGTAAATTTATTCAATAAAATTGCCATTGACTTCAACCACGATCTCCAGACGACTTCGGAATCTCCTGCAACTCTTCTGGAAGGTCTTCTTGTTTAAGTTGGTGAATGCTGCCATAATCCTTGCTTTCAGTTCATCTTTGGTATTACAAGGAGTTTTGTTGTTCTCTTGCTCAACTGTGACTCACACATAATAATCAAGGGAGTTGCAGTCTGGGGAGTCAGGTAGCCAGATGTAAGGGGTTATGTGGTCACAGAAATTGTCTGAGAGCCATGACTGAGTTCTCCTGCTTGTGTGGCATGGTGAAGATTCCTTTGGTCAGACACCAGCAAATTAGGGAGTTCTTTTCTTTTCCGAACGATGAAAGTGAGTTTTCCGAGCTACCGTACCTTCGGAATCACCATAAGAATCATCCAACTCTTTCCGAATCCTCTACACTGTCCTATGTTCGTATTGGAGCTTCCGGTGCGAATGCCAAGCAGTACAGCATGCCGTTTCCAAATTTCTGACGGAGGGAATTGCGTCATGGTGCTCTTTTTCTCGCAGTCAATGCCCAACTGACCTTACTATACTGTGCAGTCGACAAACTCAAACATAAACAACGCGCATGCGCGAAACTAAAAACAAAAACAAAAAAAAAACAACAAAAAAAACGACGACAATTTACCCATCGCACCGTGTTTACTAAAGTATGAAATAGAAACAGCAATCGAGAAAATAGGTTCGGTCCTAAATAAAAATGAAAGGAAAAGAAGAAATACAGAAAGAAACACTAAATGAAGAAGGAAGGGGGGGTGGAGAAGTCTGAACAAAAAGAAAGAAAAAGAGAAAACGGTGAAACGAGAAAGAAAGAAAGAAAGAAAGAAAGAAGGAAAGAAAGAAAAAAGAAAGAGAAAAGAGAAAAAAGAAGATTTAAGCTAAAGAAAAAAAGAAAGAAAGAAAAAAAGAAAGAATGAAAGAAAGAAAGAATTCGAATTCGAGGAATAGAGCCAAGGAAATAATGAAAAAAGCATAAATAAATGAAGGGAAGGTGGAAAGAAAGAAAGAAAGAAAGAAAGAAAGAAAGAAAGAAAGAAAGAAAGAAAGAGTATTAATATGACGGGAAATAAAGGAAAAATAATGAAAGGAAGAAAGAAAAAAGAATGCACAAGCATCCAAAGAAAGAAAGAAAGAAAGAAAGTATAAGCCACCAAAGAAAGAAAGAAAGAAAGTATAAGCCACCAAAGAAAGAAAGAAAGAAAGAAAGTATAAGCCACCAAAGAAAGAAAGAAAGAAAGTATAAGCCACCAAAGAAAGAAAGAAAGAAAGAAAGAAAGAAAGAGAAAAAAGAAGATAGATAAAAAGAACAAAAAAAGAGGTAAGTGCAAATAAGAATGAATTCGAATTAGTAGCAAGGATTAGAGCAAAGGAAATAATACAGAAAAGCAGGAAAAAATGAAAGGAAGGTGGAAAGAAAGAAAGAAAGAAAGAAAGAAAGAAAGAAAGAAATAAAAAAGAAAGAAAGAAGGGAAGGAAGGAAGGAAGAAAAAGAAAGGAAGAAATAAAGAAAGAGAGAAGTGTCGAATTCAAGTAAGAAAGAGAGAATTCCATATAAGGAAGGATAGAGCCAAGGGAAGAAAGAACGAAAACGGAAGAACCAAAAACAAAGAGAAAATCGAAGAAAAGATGTGAAAGAAAAACAGACAGACAGACAGATTGACAGACAGACAGACAGACAGAAAGATAGAAGAAATAAATAAATAAATAAAATAAGAAAGGAAGAAGAACAGATTTATAGACAGTAAGGAAAAAATACATTGAGGTAACAGGGAAAATAAAGGAGAAAAAAGAAATAATGAAAAAGATAGAAGATGAGGCGAAAAGAAAGAAAGAAAGAAAGTGATCGGTAAAAAAGAAAGAAAAGTTATTAAAAAGAAAGAAAGAAAGAAAAGTGATCGGTAAAAAAAGAACGAAAATTCATTAGAAAGAAAGAAAGAAAGAAAGAAAGAAAGAAAGAAAGAAAGAAAGAAAAGTGATCGGTAAAAAAAAGAAAGAAAAGTTATTAGAAAGAAAGAAAGAAAGAAAGGTGATCGGTAAAAAAAAGAAAGAAAAGTTATTAGAAAGAAAGAAAGAAAGAAAGAAAGAAAGAAAAGTGATCGGTAAAAAAAGAACGAAAATTCATTAGAAAGAAAGAAAGAAAGAAAGAAAGAAAGAAAGAAAGAAAGAAATAAAGAAAGAAAGAAAGAAAAGTGATCGGTAAAAAAAGAAAGAAAATTTATTAGAAAGAAAGAAAGAAAGAAAGAAAGAAAGAAAGAAAAGTGATCGGTAAAAAAAGAACGAAAATTCATTAGAAAGAAAGAAAGAAAGAAAGAAAGAAAGAAAGAAAAGTGATCGGTAAAAAAAGAACGAAAATTCATTAGAAAGAAAAAAGAAAGAAAAAAAGAAAAGAAAGAAAAAAAGTGATCGGTAAAAAAAAAGAAAGAAAATTTATTAGAAAGAAAGAAAGAAAGAAAGAAAGAAAGAAATAAAGAAAGAAAGAAAAGTGATCGGTAAAAAAAAGAAAGAAAAGTTATTAGAAAGAAAGAAAGAAAGAAAGAAAGAAAGAAAGAAAGAAAGAAAGAAAAGTGATCGGTTAAAAAAGAACGAAAATTCATTAGAAAGAAAGAAAGAAAGAAAGAAAGAAAGAAAGAAAGAAAGAAATAAAGAAAGAAAGAAAGAAAGAAAAGTGATCGGTAAAAAAAAGAAAGAAAAGTTATTAGAAAGAAAGAAAGAAAGAAAGAAAGAAAGAAAGAAAGAAAAGTGACCGGTAAAAAAGAAAGAAAATTCATTAGAAAGAAAGAAATAAAGAAAGAAAGAAAAGTGATCGGTAAAAAAAGAAAGAAAATTTATTAGAAAGAAAGAAAGAAAGAAAGAAAGAAAGAAAGAAAGAAAAGTAACCGGTAAAAAAAAAAGAAAATTTATTAGAAAGAAAGAAAGAAAGAAAAAAGAAAGAAAAAATTTCAAATGAGAAAAGAATTCGAGACAGCATCAAAATAAAAGCGAAGAAATAATCAAAGAAAAATATTAGAACGAGAAAAGAAAAAAAAACAATGAAAAGAAAGAAGAGTTTGATAAGAAAAAGAGACTTTAATATGGCATCAAAGATTAGAGGCAAAGAAGGGAATGATTAAAAAAAAAGAAAGCGAATGCGAAGAACGAACGAACCAAAGAAAGAAAGAAAGGAGAGAAGGAGAACGAAAGAAAAAAGTAAGAAACAAAGAAAAATAGCAAGAAATAACATGAAAAAAAAAATCAAAGGAAAGAAAACAAGGAATAAAGAAGGAATAAAATTAGCCAATATATGACAAAAAAAAAAAAAAAAAAAAAAAAAAAAAGAAAAATGAGATGAAAAAAATGATTTCTTTTTGTGAATGAGCAAGACCATTATGTTTAACCGGTGACCGGAAGTCACTTGTTGGTTCTTGGCCCGCCGGATATCGGATAACGGAAGCGTCGGTTTCGTAAATGGAGGCCTAGCTGAATTATGCGTTGCTTTAGCTTTTAACACGGCATCAGCCATTGATCTGTGTGTCGACAAGGTATTGGAAAATCTACTTTAACTATCAATACACCCGGGTAAGCAGGACAATAGTTTATATTGACACGCACAGGGACCCCTAACTTCTAAAAAAAATCATATATTATCTATCCTCGATATATGAGAACAATACCTTCCTGAGTTTCCTGGATGTAATATTGTCATTGTCCCCAAAATATTCGAACGAGAATCCTCACCTTTGTTGTCTTGATTACTATAGAAGGATAGAATGTTCTTAACGCCAAGAAATAACATCGAATTTAATGTCAATAAAGAAAATTTATTTAATGGGAAGCCGATATGTGGTGACCCAATATTTACTGGGATGAACCCAGATTATACCAAAACAGACATTGCAATAAGTTTTCCAGCTGGGGGACAGAGAAGCCGGGTGAATCAGCGGGTTGACCTGAAAAATGACATCCTAACCATCAGGTGCAGACTCGCACCATCGCTCTAAGTCAGAGGCTGTCAACGACCTATATACAGGTTTTCGCACCAGCTGCCCTTAGGATGTGGACACGTGGGATAACCGGTGGTAGAATAGCAACCACCTGAGAGGGGAAAAAGGAAGAGAATTTCTCACGTTCTCGTGAGAACAAAAGTTAACGTTTAGAAAGAAACTCCAAAGCTACACTCGTCATCCGACTCACCGATATTAGTTGATGAAAGTTTCGCGTGAAATGATTTGTAATCATTTCACCCGAATGAAGGCAATAAAACCCACTAGGGTTTACTAAGTGAGGAAAATAAAAAAAACAGGTTTCAAGGAGGCAGAAGATTACTACTGACATTGAATTTTATTTTTTGGGGGGTGGGGGAGAGTTGTTAACAGGAAAGCAGGAAGTCGGAAGTCAGAAGAAAGTTCCACAGGCGAGATGGACTAGGGAAGAAACGATTCGTTATAGAACTTACGGCTACATTTAACTACTACAGCAGTAAAATGGTGAGACCTAGTTGCCAATCTAGTACTGCGTTTAAATTCATGCAGTAAAGGCACCAGGGGAAAAAAAAAGCTCATCAGAATAGTTGCCATGAAAGTATTCGTAGAAAAGACAGAGGGAAGCCACATAACGTTGTTGAGAAACTCGAGATGCCAGGTCAGGATCGATAACATTCAGTTCAGTTATGTGCCATGCGTGATACACGTTTAGGCGATCATGTATTTTTCGATACATGACTGACGAGGCAGATTTTTTTAGGTTATAATTATCTTTCTGTGGTAGACCAGTTGCTATCCAAGGCTACAGAACCCGGTCTGTCCTGCTATTTATCCACAGCTGTGGTGGTGGTGGTGGGGGGAGTAGACTAGCATTCATGCCTTCCTCAAGAGTATTAGCACATAAAGGTATGAATCCTCTTCTTGTCCCCCAAGCTATGGGTATAGAGCAGGACAGATCGGGTTCTTGGATATCAACTGGTCTATCGCAGAAAGAAATGGCAACCTACTGCGGGAAAAAAAATCTGCCTCGTCAGTCATGTATCTTTCGATACATGATCGCCTAAAAGTGTATCACTTTCATTATTCCTATCGATCTATTTTCACTTTCATTATTCCTATCTATCTATCTATCTATCTATCTATCTATCTATCTATCTATCTCAGTCTTTCCATTATCTGTCTATCTATCTTTTGATTTTTCTTTCTCTTTCATTTTCATTATTTCTATCTATCTATCTATCTATCTATCTATCTATCTATCTATCTATCTATCTATTATATACCGTACACATGAACACTAATGGGTATATCCCAAATCTCATAAATACGTTGGACACTATTATAAGTGGGGGGATAATATGCTGTCTATGTAGTCCATCACTAGCAGTGGTTTACCTACTTCACGCCGCTGGCGAGTATTGTATTTTCTTGATGTTGTAAAGATTACCATTTCATTTTCAACCTCTGTTTTGGTTATGCCTCATTCATTAACACTTTCTAGGTTACAACACTATCTATCTATCTATCTATCTATCTATCTATCTATCTATCTATCTATCTATCTATCTCAGTCTCTTCTCTATCTATGTCTCTTTTCTTATCTATCTATCTATCTATCTATCTATCTATCTATCTATCTATCTATCACAGTCTTTCCATTATCTATCTATCTTTCTTTTGATTTTTCTTTCTCTTTCATTTTCATTATTTCTATCTATCTATCTATCTATCTATCTATCTATCTATCTATCTATCTATCTATCTACCATACTTATGAACACTAATGGATATGTCCCAATCCTCATAAATACGTTGGACACTATTGTAAGTGGGGGTAATATGATGTCTAACTAGTCCACAACTAGCAGTGGTTTACCTACTTCACGCTGCTGGCGAGTATTGTATTTTGTTGATGTTATAAAGATTACCATTTCATTTCCAACCACCATTTTGTTTATTCCTCATTCAGTAACACTTCCTAGGTTACAACAGATTTTTTAAAAATTTATTATCAATATCAACAATATAAGATACCCAGACGACCCTGTGTTGACTCAGAAAGAAAACTACAGGGCCTAAAAGATAGGGCAGTCAAAGAAGGCGTGAAGAACGGACGAACTATTAACTGCAGGAACATATGGTCACCAGCAAGAGAAAAATCCTAAGATGTGAGTTACGAATTACTCATAGTGTAACACACGTGAGAAAATGACTTACCACCTGATAGAAAGCGAGTTCGATGTCTTGCGTGAAAAAAAAAATGGCGGCTTTACGAGTCGTATTGTTAAGAAACGATAGATAACCAAGTCTGGTTAGTATTTGCTCTGCCATCACACACTGGCAGGATTTGGCACAAATAATGTCGGTAGTTGAGCGCGAGCAGCTCGGACCAGTTCCCAAAATAAATCCAACAGCCGCAACCGTCGATTGAGATGACATCGGTATCACTACCGGGTCCCTTCGCTTTAATGCAGTCAGGGCGGTTCTGATGCGGGAAGCTGTTCACCGAGACCGGGCACTTCTCAATCATATTTTCAGTTGTGCTCTGCCCAAGGACAAAGACACAAATGAGAGGTAAAATGTCGTCTGTTCGTCCGATGGCAGACACCACGGATTTATCTACACAGGTTAACCAGGACTTAAAGAAGAGCTTATCTCGAGCAGCCGTGTCTTCTTGGTCAATGAATACCGATTGTTTCCTTATACGAAAATGGCTATTATTGACATTACCATCTATCTATCTATTAGTCTTTTCATATCTATCGTTATATATATATATATATATATATATATATATATATATATATATATATATATATTTCGCTCAGTCTTTTATGCTTATCTATCTATCTATCTATCTATCTATCTATCTATCTATCTATCTATTACAGTCTTTTCATATCTATCGTTCTATATATATATATATATTTCGTTCAGTCTTTTTATGCTTATCTATCTATCTATCTATCTATCTATCTATCACAGTCTTTTCATATCTGTTTCATTCTGTTCATATCTATCTATCTATCTATCACAATATTTTCATATCTATCTGTCTTGGGATGCCATTTTATGCTTATCTATCTATCACAATATTTTCATATCTATCTCATTCTGTTCATAACTATCTATCTATCTATCTCAGTCTGTTCATATATATTAGTCTGTTCATATCTATCTATCTATCTATCTATCTATCTATCTATCTATCTCAGTCTGTTCATATATATTAGTCTGTTCATATCTATCTATCTATCTATCTATCTATCACAATATTTTCATATCTATATCATTCTGTTCATATCTATCTATCTATCTATCTATCTATCTATCTATCTATCTGTCACAGTCTGTTAATATCTATCTATCTATCTATCTATCTATCTATCTATCTATCTATCTATCTATCTCTTAACGCCTATTTTGTTCGAATTAAAGACCTTAATTGCCTAACACTTAAATCAAAAATCCTCAAATATCTGCTAGAGAATCTGAGTGATTTCATTTTTTTTTATATTTAACCGGGAGCCTTTAAATGCTTGCGCTTAAAAACTAAATTCGGATGAACATAAAGTCAGCACCGAATAAAATAACATTCGTTTTTAAATTTCTTTGCCATTGGCATGATTTGCAGAAAATTCTACCTTAATTCAGTCCACGAAAATGGCGTTTAAATAAATAAATCACAGAAAAGAAAACGATTAGAATTGAATTTGTATTCTCTAAATTCAAACTGATTGTTTCAAGGAGTCCAAATAATAGTCTCTTCGACTTTCCTGTTGAATATAAATCGTAAAAGTGATTACCAGCTGCGCGACGAGAGAGAGAGAGAGAGAGAGAGAGAGAGAGAGAGAGAGAGCAGCAGTTTGTTGTTTTTTTCACGTCGGTTCAAGATGGCCGCTTTGTACGGCAAATGATAATGATGGCTGTAAAGAAAGAAAATTATCAATATTAGATCCGTTCGTGTTGTTTGTTACAAATGATTTCGCTTTATTGTCGCTCGTTTCTCTCCTGATGAAGACACGGTATAATGACAATTGGTTCACAGTAAACGAACGCTGCTCGGGAACACGGAGAGAAATGAGGCCGAGAACCATTTGCAATTTGGAAAACTTGATTTTGGTAGCAGAGATTGTCGTCCACGAGAATAAAGAAAAAAAAGCCTCACGCATGAGCCTGCCTTATAGTCTTACTGAATGCAATGGAATTTTCGCGGCATCTGACGCTGAGATATATAAAGTATATTTAATGTGAATCTTTCTAAGATTCCAAACGAGATATATTGATATATATATATATATATATATATATATATATATATATATATATATATATATATATCCGTATAATCTCATTTGGAATCTTACAATATATATATATATATATATATATATATACTGATATATATATATATATATATATATATATATATATATATATATATATATATATATATATATATATATATATATATATATATATATATATATATATATATATATATATATATATATATATATTATATAATCTCTTTTGGAAACTTAGAAAAGATTCACATTAAATATACTTATATATCTCAGAGTCAGATATATACATCAGTGTAATCTCTTTAGGAATCTTAGAAAAGATTATATATATAGCCTCTCCATCAGCAAGCCCTATGCAGTGCCTCCTGGTGGCGACACATGGTAACCGAGCACCTTGCGGACTTGGGGGGGGGTCAGGGGAGGAGTTTGATCCCCTTAACATACGGCATGCAGGCCCACCGGTGTGTTGCTCACGCCCTGGTGTCCACGAACCAACTCCCAGCTATGGGTTAAATAGCTCCACTGCCTTGTGAACATCTTTGGGAGAAGAAAAGGCTAAGGAGTGTACCCTTCAGAAATCCGGAGTAGAGCCTCCAAGGCGGATGGACGGCACTTTGTGCTTAACTTCCGGCAACTCCTGCAGTCGCTCTGGTACCAAACTGTATTGGTTTATCCTCTCCTTTGGACTCTGCTAGCAAGGCCGAGAGGGTGGAACTAGACGTCCGGACAGCCCTAGTTCTCCATACATCTCCGCCCAGGCTCTTGTATCGCACTGACCGATACTCCATCGTCAACCGAGATGGGTGGATGCCGAACGAAGGAATATATGATAAAATATAGTTTTATGGTATTCCATAATTATGGGGTAAAGTGCTCAATATCAGTGATAGAGCACCTCGGAGCAACAATCTGTGTCGTCATTGAATGCAATCTTTAGGCCTGAAGAGTGTATGGTGTTGACCTCAGTGTTCATATATATATATATATATATATATATATATATAATTTTTTTTCCTTTCATTTCGTTGTTGGAATTGTTACCTGATGATCCGGAGTCCTTTAAAAAGGATTTTGGTGAAATAAATTATTGTAATGGTACCTTAAAGTGGTCTGTTTTTCATTAAATATTAGCTCTGTATTCACATTGAGCTCTCAGGATTTCATCCTCCTTGGAATTACCCATTCGGTTTACCAAGTTCTTCATAACTTATATATATATATATATATATATATATATATATATTCCGAAATAGAAAAATGCATCCTCCAGAAAAAAACAAACTATGATCCAAAATTAATATATTCTCTTACTAATTAACTCTATCACATCTACAATTGGAAAGAACCTATTTGTACTCAACATAAAATTTGTTACTATGACATCCAAAACAATAAAAGACTTAGTCAATCCTAAACAATAAGCTGAAACTTGAAAGAAGAATTTAATCAATAGCATGTAATGATTGTCACAAAAAATACATAGGAGAAACCTCAAGGAATCTAAATCAAAGATTATAGGAAAAAACAGAAAACTAGGCAGATGTTAATGCAATGTAGCACGACGCTTTTAAGGAGGCGGTCTAATTCTTCTGGAGTCAGGTCGGGGTTTCTGTCGGAGCGGATATGATGCGAAACCCGAAATCGGCGATGAGAACAGTGCACCACTGAAGACCACCTTTGATGTGTCTAAAATGTTTTATTTAACTACAGAAAAGGGGCATTTTACAAAACAATACATCAAATGGGCTTGTTGCCAACCTTAAAGAGACTGAACACGATTTTGACATTAAAAAAATGCTACTCTGATCAAAGGATAAAAAAACATTTCACTACGTCGTAAATGTCTCCAGATTTCCTTGATGGCAAGGTCATCTACCGTAAATTTTTGCCATGGATCTTACAACGTTTCACTTTTCCCGAGAGAACTTCTTTTATCACAGTGTGGGATATCCATTCCAATATGGCGTACGTCCGGTGAAGAAACAACGCCGGCATCCTCATATAGCGCCGCGTGACAAGATGTCGTATGGATGTCGCCTAAACGATGAAACACCGTGCGTCAGATCCGACGTAACCCGAGGACCTTCTGTATGTAGATAGATAGATAGATAATGAATAGACTGAGATAGATAGATAGATAGATAGATAGATAGATAATGAATAGACTGAGATAGATAGATAGATAGATAGATAGATAGATAGATAGATAGATAGATAGATAGATAATGAATAGACTGAGATAGATAGATAGATAGATAGATAGATAGATAGATAGATGGATGGATAGATAATGAATAGACTGGGATAGATAGATAGATAGATGGATAGATGAATAGATAGATGGATGATAGATAGGTAATGAATAGACTGAGATAGATAGATAGATAGATAGATAGATAGATAGATAGATAGATAGATAGATAATGAATAGACTGAGATAGATAGATAGATAATCAATAGAGTGAGATAGATGGATAATGAATAGACTGAGATAGATAGATAGATAGATAGATAGATAGATAGATAGATAGATAGATAGATAGATAGATAATGAATAGACTGGGATAGATAGATAGATAGATAGATAGATAGATAGATAGATAGATAGATAATGAAAAGACTGAGATAGATAGATAGATAGATAATGAATAGACTGAGATAGATAGATAGATAATCAATAGAGTGAGATAGATGGATAATGAATAGACTGAGATAGATAGATAGATAGATAGATAGATAATGAATAGACTGAGATAGATAGATAGATAGATAGATAGATAGATAGATAGATAGATAATGAATAGACTGAGATAGATAGATAATGAACAGAATCAAATAAATAGATGGATACGGAAGAAGCAATGATAGATAGATATATAGATAGACTGAGATAGATATATAGATACATAGATATGAGCAGAGATTGAGATAGACATATTGATAGATAGATACGAACAGACGGAGATAGATAGATAGATAGATAGATAGATAGATAGATGGGCCGAGTTGTTAGTACGTTAGCGCTCCGACCATAAGACCCTTTTCGATTATGGCCCTTCACATCTTCCTGTCCCTTGTGGCACTTAATAAGTTTTATCTTTTTGTTATTTCTCCCAAACCCTGATCTCTCATCTACTTGCTGAAGCTCATCAAATATATTTCGCGTTGCCTCCCACTGTCCTTTTTTTTTCTCAGTAGTTGCTGCAAAAACCATATGCTTATTTTGATCCCCATCAAAAACAAACATCCAGCAAGCCACTATACATGACTTTCAAATGTAAAAAAAAACGCTAAATGCCGTTGAGTTCTGCGAAACTAATCTTAAATTTACAGAGAAAAATAAGCAGGATTTGTTTTTTTGTTTTTTTACTAAACAAAACAATGTTGTTTTTTTTGTTTTTTTAACTTTGCTGATACTCTCTCGAAATTTTGAAACCTGTAAAACGCATGCGTACTTCCATTTTTAACAATGGAACCTAAACGGAACATATCGCTCGGCCATTTTTTTTTATCTTCTCGTCTATTCTGTTCTCTGTTCGCAGATATAAATCAGCTTTCTTTAATGTGATTTGCTTCATCTTTCAGTCTTAAGATCATAGTCGATAATACAAGAACATTCTCAAATATATGGAAATAAACAGAAGTATAAAAAAAAATGAAAAGAAAAAAATATTATTAACGTAAACAGCTTTTACAGATGTCTGCAAAAGTAGGTATACAGTAAGTATTATACCAGCATTTTAGATAAGGTATTGTAATTATCTACATTGTTCGGAGTGTTGTACACATCTTCGTTGCCGTTCGTATTTACGGCGTTTCGGCCGTTGTACGCTCCGGTCTTCTGGGACATGTGTACTCAAGGATAAAAGCGTTGGTTGAATCCAGTAACTTGACACAAAGAGTTGTGAGTTCAATACCTGGCGGTGAGCAAAAATTTGAAGAGTTGAGTTAAAGGAAGATAGCTGGTACTGAAACATGGCAGGTAAAACTAGAACAATCTACCCCGGTGGACGAAATAAAGGGTTTCATTTCGACATTCTTCAACTGAAAAATGCCGGAGCGTACAATGGCCGAAACGTCGTGAATATGACGACGAAGATGAGATAGC